GGCTGTGTACGAGTTCTCCATGGAATAACAAGCCTGTTTCCTGGCATGTGCGCGGTGTGCCCCCCGGGAGGGCGGGGCCTGGTGACATGTGATGAGAGGCGTGGCCGCTGTATTTATCGCAACGCCGCGCTTCCTTCCCCCCCGGTGACGGGAGGCTGTGGGATCGGGCAGATCCTGGAGAGACGGTCCGCGGGAAGATAGGAGGCTCGGTGTGAGCTGGGAAACACCCTGGGCGTCCCCGACCATTCCGGTGAGTTGTGGGGCCGCTTTCCATACACTTCACTGAACTCTGCCGGCGGGGCACGGCGGAGAGAACTCCTTCACCCCTCCTCAAATTGGCATCGCCGCCGCCATGTTGTTGTGGTGAAGTTTAGAGAGGGAACCCCGGGAGTGCGGGGGGTGGACATTCTAGTGGGGTGTGATACCATGTACGGACTTGTAGCAGAACTGACAGTCCCTGCCGGGGGAGGGGGAGACTCTGCGGCCATATAGAACATTGTGGAGAATAATCGGCTTCTATGACAGGAAAGAGACACCAGAAACTGATACAAAGTAACCAGGAACATTCACAGTTCCAATGTAGGAGAGAGAAGAGTCCAGGAAGAGAACAGTCCTCCATTTCTGGGACTTCATCCTACATTTGGGGTCATGTACATGGACGGTGGTGAACCTACAATGTCATTCTGATGTGTTCCCCAACAATGCCCTCCAACCCCGTTCTCATCAGGGAGCCTCGGTGCTATATACAGCCTCCTATAGAAGTCAATGGTTGTATGCGGGTATATGCTGGACAAGTGTATATGCACTCATGTGTTGGGACTGTGCATCTATACATGTGCGCATGTATATGGTACCGGCAGCGTAGACCTGTGTACAGCCATTGACTTCTACGGGAGGCTGTACACCGCATCTGTGACTCCCTGGTAGGGAAAGGGAAAATATGTTAGAATTTATATTTTTCCATCCATATGCATGTTTACGCCAGTCTGGTGTATACCTACGTACAGCCATTGCCTTCTATAGGAGTCCGTATGCAGCACCTGTAACTCCTTGGTAGAGAAAGGGGTAATATCCCAGAATTTGTTCTCCATCCATATGCATGTTTACTCCGTTCTGGTGTATACCTACGTACTGCCATTGCCTTCTATAGGAGTCCGTATGCAGCACCTGTAACTCCTTGGTAGAGAAAGGGGTAATATCCCAGAATTTGTTCTCCATCCATATGCATGTTTACGCCAGTCTGGTGTATACTTACGTACTGCCATTGCCTTCTATAGGAGTCCATACGCAGCACCTGTAACTCCTTGGTAGAGAAAGGGGTAATATCCCAGAATTTGTTCTCCATCCATATGCATGTTTACTCTACTTTTGGTGTATACCTACATACAGCTATTGACTTCTATGGGAGGCTGTACACAGCATCTGTGACTTCCTGGCAGAATTTACCTTGTGCATGTTTACGCCGTTCTGGTGTATACCTACGTACAGCCATTGACTTCTATGGGAGGCTTTACCTGTGACTCCCTGGAAGAGAAAGGGGAATATACGCCAGAATTTACGCTTTCCATCCATACGCATGTATACACTAGTCTGGTGTATACCTACGTACAGCCTTTGATTTCTATAGGAGGCTGTACGCGGCACCTGTGACTCCCTGGTGGGGGAATATGCCAGAATTTACAGTGTGCATCCATGCACATATGCATGTTTACACCAGTGTGGTTTATACCTACGTACATCCATTTCCTTCTATGGGAGGCTGTACGCAGCACCTGTGACTCCCTCGCATGGCCAGGGGGATTTTCTGTCTTTTAACCCTTTTCTAAATCTGGTGCGGGCGTTTGAGCTTCAAAAAACTCAGCGTCCGTATGCATCAGTGAACGTGACGATGGCTCCATGACTAATTTATCTATGTGGCATGGAGGATGAGTCCTGAGAACTAGGAACATGCACAGGTTTGCATTCCATGTTCCTTGCTGCAAGGTTAGGGGATTTCTTCAAGTGTATTTCCACTTTTTGCAGCCACATCAGGATAACATCTACTTTTTATATTAGTTGCATGTTCCCATTCACATAGCATAACGTAAAAAATAATAGAGATCTCTTCTTACTTTCACTTGCTTCTTCTGAAAACTCCAAAACTGAGGTTTTCTCCTGCGACTGTAATGTTAAGGAGGGGGCTGGAGAGTCGATGTTTACCATAATGAACCCGGTCTGTACTGTGCTGGTGGATCTCAATATCAGTTGTAAACTAGATGTGGACAGTGACTGTCCTAAAGGTGCCCACCTTACACCTTGTACACCTTACAATTATCGCCTGAATTTCGTCCGCAATCGTGTTTTCGTCCAAAAATCATCCAGTTGATGGGAAGTGCACAACAGCAATTAGTGTACAACTGGCCAAATTTCGTCTTTCAAGCAGCCTAAAAATGTTGTTGAGTTTGATGAAAATCGATGGATTAGTGGCATTTTCGTACCAAAAAAAAACTGCATGTAAATCGGTTCTTTCGATCGAGGAAATTCGGCCAGTTAGTGGTGCTGAGGAACGATAATCGCAAACTCCATTGGTCTGTGCATGATGTGGTATTTGGGCAAAAATTGAACGAGGGTGCAATGTCGGGACATAAAAAAAGTTGTACAATGGTTGTCAGGTGTATGGCCACCATAACAAAGGGTTTGCCATCTCTGAGCTGGTGTTCTGTGTTCTATGTAATGAGGGAATCCTTCTCTGTCCCCACTGTGTCTGTCTCTTCTCCGCTTTCTCTTTTTAAATTTGTTGTTGAGTAGCTTGCAGTCTGCCCAAAAGCTCGCTCCAAAGAAACAGAAGAATAAGAAGGGAAACGGATATTTCATTATTTTCGCAGAAATACAGCTGTGTTGTGTTCTAGAGTCCTGCTTAACACAGCAGCAAGAACTCTAATTGGAGGAGAGGCCAGTCACATGACTTTGATAGGTTGCCATGTCTTCAATTTTGTTTATGATTTTTTCCTACCCTTTTTATTTGTATTTTTGTTCTCGTGGCTTCCACAGCCAGTGGAGTGCTAACAAATATGTAAAGCACATTGCTTTGTTTTTATAAGGGCCTGTTCACACTTCTGCGTTGTAAAACTGAAAAAGGGTCATGTGCATTTTTTTTCACCCTACATCAGTAAGGCCACACCGCATTATTCACAATTATCACGGGTAGCTGCGACCAGTGCAGTTTGCTGACTTCTGTTGGTGACTACAAGATAAGATGTTCTGTATGATTCTGTAAAATCTCCTCTCCCAGGTGTGGTGCTGTGTTGTCACTCCACTACAAAGCCATGTTCCACTGTTGTCACTATCAAAACCCAGCCCTGAGACATGCCATGCAGCCATCGTTGTAGTGAATGTAGATGGTGGCTGTAAGAGACCGCAATAGATCAGCAGTAAAAAGGATGAAAACATGCTTGTATTCAGTTATAGGGTAAAATGGCATCCTTGTTCCCCTCCCACCATGATAAAATGTAGGTACGTTTTTATAAAAAAAAAAAACCCCCAAACCTTCTGAATAAAATTGAATGAACATACTTTCTTGACACATTGGCAAGGGAGACATGAGAGGCCTTCCGGCAAGCTGTGGATCCCAAATGGAGACATTCCGGCACAAGTAACCAGGGTGTAAGGGGAGTACAGCTTTAATTTTGCTTCTAATGTGTTCAGTGCAACTGGAGCCAAAATTGTTTTGGATGTAGTGGAGAGGGAATAGTACCCCAGCCAAGTTTTTATTGCTGTCTGTTGCCCCATTAGGGAGATTCACCCTCTCCATTTGTCCAGGAGACCGTTATTACTGAAAGTGAAAGAAAATCCCAAATTTTGGGTTGTCGTCAGAACAGGAATAGACGGGAAATCTTCCAGTGAGGACACTAGTTTTGGTCACCCTGTTGACCACCAGGGATTTCCTGCTCTTTGGAGGGATTTCATCTTGCTCCCCAACGGGGCAGAGGTGTGTTTTTAAAAAGAAAAAAAAAGGCAATCGTGAGTTATAACCCTCCCTTACTTTATCCAAAACTACAACAACAATTTCGAATTTAGTTCTAGTTTAATCAATTTAAATATTAAGCTAGAAGTATTTTACCTGGGGGGTCTGAAGGATAAGTGGACCTTGCAGTTTACCTTTAGCTTGAAACTGGTTTACATAAGGTAAAGCTGTGTGTGTGTCTCAGATATAGCTCAGATCAGATGTCTGTGTCTTCCTAACTGGGCCCTTGACATCTGAATGCTGGCATGTTGTCCCAAGTTTATAGACCGTATAGTGACATTGCATGACATTAAAGGAGATCTATGAGGTGAGTGCTTTTCACTCCCCTCATAGTTCTAGCCGACCTGTGACAATGAGAATGTCACAGGTCGGCTCAGTAGATCGGGAAGTGAGCGAACACATAACGGCATTAGCTCACTTCTCGATCCTGTCACTGCTCTCTGCCGTGACAGGGGAGGGGCTGGATTCCCTGCTCCGATCCACCTGCGCTGACTGGCGGAACGGATGGGGCGGGTACAGCTGGCTCTGCCTCTAGATAGGCAGAGCCAGCTGTCAGTGACGCAGCTGAGCGGATCCCGGCACAATTGTCGGGATCCGCTTCAGCTGCGGCGTCTCAGTATACCGCGAGCAGCAGCCCGCGGTATACTGCGGTGTCTCAGTGTACCGCGAGCTACAGCTCGCGGTATACTGAGCCTAGGGTGACGGGAGGACGCTAGTTTGTGTCCTCCCGTTACCATAAGGAGAACTATGGGGAAAAGCCTTAACCCCATAGTTCTCCTTTAAGCCCTCATTCACACGAGTAACAGCCGGCCCGTACAGATCCGTGCTGCATGCACTGCTGTATTGGGCCGCTCCCGGGAAGGACAGGTGCGTGTGATTATACGCAGCAGCTTGTCCTTCTCTATGCGACTACGCCGCCCTACGCTTGCACGTCCGTACAGGTGTGGGTGTCCCTGCTCGGACGCAGACAGGGTCCATCCTGTCAGCTTATGAGTACAGACACCTGCACAGGCGTGAAGGGCGGTGTGCGGCTGCGTACTCCCATAGATAAGGACAGGCTGCTGCGTGTAATCACACGCATGCCCCTGTCTTTCCTGGGAGCTGCCCGATACGGCCATGCATGGATCTGTACGGGCCGGCCGTTACCCGTGTGAATGAGGGCTAATGGTGAATGTGCATTGCAGGTGAAATCACGTTAGGAGGTGACCTTTAAAAATGTTGAAGTAGTTCCCTGTTGTGTGACTTGA